TTTTTCTAAGCCCCATCCCCACCCCTATAGAAATTCCGGTTATTTTACGCTTTATACGTGTCTTTAAATATTTTTATGGTCTTATTGAACCCCCACTCCTAGGAAATTCCAACCACTTCTGTAGGGGGAGTAATAATGGATATTTTCTGAAACTACATATTGTAAAAAAAAAATGATAAACAGTAATGACATTATTTCAGGTGACAATGACTCTGACAGTCACAGAAGAAAGAGAACAAAGACAAAGAAACATCACAAGTTAGTATATATTGTATATATAAAAAAAAAAAAAAACAGAGCAAAAAGCCATATAATAAACAACTTGTTAAGCTCAAATGTGTGGTCTTTATGGAAAAATCTCAAACCCTGGCATTGCCATATTGACCTTGCAGTCAATACAGTCTTGGTTTGAGATTTTCCTGTAAAGACCTCACTCTCAGTTAATAAACAGTTGATATCATTGTTTTGAGGGGCCGTGAAGGGTAAAATCTATGATGTATTGCCTGAAAATGTGTTGAAATTGAGAGACAATCAATTAATGTGACCTAGCACAATCCATAACGATTAAGAATTTGACTGTTTTATTACAGTCCCTGGTGATACATTGGTAAGAAAATAATTAGCTTAACATCAACTCTTAGGAAAGAAAGTTCAAAGCACAAACACAACAAGAGGCACAAGCACAGGGAAAAGAGGAAAAGAAGTAAGAAGAAAAGGAAAAATCAGGATTCTTCCTCAGAATCAGACTGATAACATCGAATGTTGGATTTTACTTGTGTTTGCACACTACAACACAGCTATAATTTTGCATTGGTCTGTCATGAATATCTAGGGTCTGGTGAAGTGTTTTGGTTCTGGTAGATTAAACCACTTCCTTGTGATTTGGAATAAGAGCAAATATTAACCTTTCCACCAGGGGGTTGTAGCAGCACAATAATTTGCCTGGTAGACAAATGAGTTTAGAAAAGAGAAATTTTCTTAATATTCTGAATTTCAATTCAAGCACTTATTAAGCCAGCCTCCTATGCAGACTTCCTTATTGCTCATCATGCAATCTCTTTCATGACGAGCCATAAGAATGTCTGTGTAGGATACTATTATAAAACAAATTTTTCCTGTCCACAAACTATCCCTAACTTTAGAAAGCTCACAGGATTGCAGTTTGAAAACTTCATTAACTTTGTTTGATGACGTTATACATATATGCTGTATCTTCTCCAAAGTGCAAATGTTTCAAGTAATATATCAAACACAAGAGATGGTGTTTCATTGAGATCTGAGAAGAAAGTCGAAAATATGATGCGCAGCAGAGTATTTTTGACGAAATGTGTTTGGATAGCCCATGAAACACTGTCTTAAGTGTTTGATATATCTTCTCAATCAAAACAAAAACTAAGGAGTAAACGGAGAAGTAAAATGGTCGAAATCATTGCTACTTAAGACCAGGTATCCAAACCTCCTTCAAGGTCATGATTTCCTTTGTTTTAAATTGATGAATAATTAATGAGTTTGAGAAGAGTGAAGTTCACATGGTCCACAACTCGCCACTGCCAATGAAGAAACTATGCATTTCATCTTTCTGAACGATTTTAATGAGTGGCATTAATTTGATAGGGTTTTGTCACCATCAGTGAAGGAAAAGTCCAACCAGTGTCCTGCTCTAGTTTAATTTATTACACATCATTGATCAGAGGGCAAGTAAAGTCTGATGAGTTCGAAAAAGGAAAACCTTTTATGGATCCCATGGTTCCCCCCTTGGTATTTTGGGAGTTAATTTTTCATGCTTACTCCACAAAACAATAAAAAGAGGATATTACATGGCCACGCAGAGAGTGTTGAAAAATATTTCACTAGTGACGGCAAGAAATGAGTGAAATATTCTTCAACACGAGAAGAGAAATTTTATATCTCCAGGCAGCCATGTTATGTTCCATTATTTTATTATATAAACACCAAAGAAATACCACTCTCACTGCAAAATGTACGATTTATTGTAGCTAAACATAGTAATGGTGATCTTTTCACATGTGAAGATAACATGTTTTCACATGAAGTCTCCCCTGGTATAATGGTGTTTATATAATAAGAAGTACCATCTATTGCTCCCAAATCCCAAAGTACCTGTTATCCAAACTGTATTACAGTAATTTACTACAACGAATGAAACACATTAAGTGATTATTATCGCTTTATTAATCTGCAATTTTGTAAATTTTCTACCCTTCTAGAATGTAAGTTATAGTACAGTTCAGGAAGAAGCTTTGTCGTCGGGGACATTCAAATGTTCTCAACTACACTCAGCTGATTTTATGTAAGAAAATATCTTTGACTCTAATAAATGCCTGCAGACATTATTTTATAAACAATAAATGAGACTCTGCCATGAAAAAAGTGATCCTTTAAATAATTACCTTACAAAGTCGTTTCTGTGGGCATAAAATTATTGGTTGAAGTATAATTTATTTAACACACTTATCAACCAGTTGTATACCAAACTACTCCTTTGTAAAGCTTAAATAACAAACTTGTAACCTACAAAAAATGTGTCCCCTCATTAGTCATTTTATGTTCTACATTGTGGCCAGTTTTATTTCAGTCTATGACTCAGGCTGCACCCTTGTCATTTATCACTTGATAAAAATCTCGAGCTTGTAATCTAATTGTTAAATATAAAGAGTCACTGTATATAAAGTGAAAATAAAAAATAAAATATTTTGGTAATAATTTGAGTCTATCATCAAAATACCTGTCTGATTGTCACTTTTCCACAACTGCACACAAAAATATTACTGTCAAAACATCAAGGGTACATTTCACTGGAAAAATCCACATAATTTCTTAAATTGCAGCACAGATTTTGCATTTCTTTGCTAAAATCTTAAAATGGATTAGGAGTCCCAAAAATCCACTCCAGAAGTAGATTTCATAGTTCAATTTAATGATAAAATAATCTAAACCCATTTTTTTTTTCCATGAATGAGTGACTGTGGGTAAAATTAAGGTGTTCAGTTCAGTTTCAGAACCTTTGAGAACAAGATATTAACCTTCAGATTTCAGATTAACCTTACACAAAAATTAATAATGTTAGTCACCTGAGGTGATCTCTAATGTTGCTTAAGCCAACCTTTGTACATAATGCGTACTTGACCATATTTGACTTAGGATTTTTATGTCATAATTTTGAAGATCAAGACTCCGGGAATACAGCCAAATTGTTGTATTCACACCTCCAATTCTTGATCAAATTTTCCTTTAAGTTACATGCACAACTAACAATATGTCAAAAATCATTGGTCGGATTAATTGTTGATGCCATGATGTACTAGATTTTTCAAACAATTTGAATGTTCCTAAACATAATTCTGTAACTTCCAGTTACAGCATAAAATGTTATCTCAAGTCCATAAGCATTGATGCAGGGTTCTCCAGGTATGATTTCCACAGATTAGAGAATCTTGCCATTGTTGCACCTTCTATAACTCTATGATCTGCTGACCAGCTGATGTTCACTATGTGTGCTTTGTATACATTATCATTCTCATCAAACTTTGGGACTTCCTGTGTGAGAAGTGATGAAACATCATGTAAGTATAAAATATGTTTGGTTAAAGGACATCTCTGCTTGCCACGCTTCTTATACATTGAAACCGTGATTTCACAGACCCTCTATTTTTCTAACCTCTCAATAACTCAAGCCAAAGTTGATTTCCCTCCCCTCGGTCAAACACTGCAGTAGTTTTACCCCCAATTTCTCAAACTAGCCAATTTTTCAAGCTAATTTTCAAAACCATGTGGGGGATTTGCGTTTTTCAAAATTGATCTCCTGCAATGGCCTTCGTCGTAAAACGTGTCGCTGTATTTTTGGACATCAAACTAATGACAGAAATTTTGCAAAACAACCAATAGGAATATCGACAAACCCTCACACGGTTTTGATGATTGATGTCTCGTAAATGATATAATGCAGTAGCTTTGTTGATGCGGTCAAGTTTGATACCCGATAAATTCACTCAATGGAACATCAGTCATTTCACGCTTTTAGGTCGCGCTCACCCTATGATTAAAAAAAATTGAGGCAAAACAATTTTTATCGAATAGAGCATTCTATAACCTTTGCATTGATATATAATTTGTAGTGGTTGTCTTTAAGACAGCGCGGTAATATTTTTTTTCGCTAAGGACACCCGCGAAGGTTTACGGTAACCTTAAAAAGTTCTAATTCTTATATTATCAATCAATGAATAGTGCCAGCACTTTGGAATACACTGAAATTTGTAGCATCATCATCATGGTGCAATTGTCATTTGCTTTGGCAGCAACTTTGGGATGAAAACTGCAGGCTTAATCTGGTCTTAAACACACCAATTTGCTATAAACTGGTAAAATATATTACAATTATATATTTTTTTAAATATTTACTACATAAATAACGATATTTAAAGAGGAAACCACATCAGCCTTGGCTGGTTTTTATGCGGGTCCTCTATCCTGGTCAAATTGGAATTTGGAGTGTTGGTTTTTGCGGAAGGAGGAAGACCACAGAACCCAGAGAAAAACCTTCTGAGCAAGGTGAGAACCAACAACAAACTCAACCCACATATGACACTGGGCTGGAATTGGACCCAGGCCACATTGGTGAGAGGAGAGCGCTCTCATTACTATGCCATCGCTGCTCCCCTTTACTTTTTGTTGTGCCAACTGTATACAGTTAAGTTGACTCAAACCTGTATTCTTCCAATCGCACCGATGGCTACTTCAGGTGGCATTATCACTGGTTTGGCATATGTTCCTCCAATCTGCGATTGCGAATCACATTATTATTAGTAACACACAATGTCAATCTATGTGCAAAGACAACCATGCACACATTTTTGTATGATTAACTGTACTGTCTAGTTGTAAACCTGTACAAACGAATATCATTATAACTGCTAAAAGGTGGAACTGATGTTCCACAGCACTCGTCTAATTATGATTTTTGAATTGCACATGGACATCCTGAAAAAACTGAGAAATATGTACAAGCATGTTGGTTGGTTTATGGAGGCACGGTGGCCTCGTGGTTAATGCGCTCGTCCCAGGATCAAACAGTCCGGGTTGGAGCCCTGGACAGAGACTTTGTGCTGTGTTCTTGGGCAAAGACACTTCACTTATACAGTGCCTCTCTCAATCCAGGTGTATAAATGGTATCGGCAAATGCAATGGACTAGTATCCTTTCCAGGGTGGAGTAGAAATACTCCTAGTCACATCATGCTACAGAAACTGGAGATAAGTGCCTGCCTGATGGGCCACTTGGCTTATATGCAGACTTTACCATGTTGGTTGATCTGGATGTTGTTTCATTGCTATTTCAAGCTGTGAAATGCAACTCACCGATCCAATATTCGATAAAGTAAAAGTCCCTCCTGTCAGATCATCAGGTGTTAATTTACCAGTGAGTCCTTGCTGATGAAGTCTGTTAAGTTCCATGGCAATATCAAATATTGACTTGTTTTGTACATTTCTAACATTTGGTACTAATAAACCTTGTTGTGTATCCATGGCAACACCAATGTTGTGAGAGCCCTATAAAAACAAGACAGTCTAATTATTAATAGTGGCTTAACTCTACCTGAAGAACTCAACTAGTTGACTTATCTCAATTACTACAAATATATGCTCCCAATTTGTTGTACAGGGATGTGATAAAGATAGCTGGCAAGGATATGACAACAGTGCTAGCAAGCTCTGTGTAACTGCTAAGCTTCCAAAGTCGGCATCATCTCCTGACAAAGTATGCAGTCAAAATGTCATGATCTACATCAAAGTGACGACATTGTGAGACAAATGATCACTTCATTTTTATCATGTATATCTAGTGTATTTTGACATCATTTGCGACTGCCGAGCTAACAAATCTTACTTCAGCTTGCAAGAGGCAACCTAAATTTTCAATTACCACACACACCACTAGAGATCAAAGAATAGCTATTGCTAGCAGATAGTATTTATTTGATGTGTTAAACAGTTTTGTGACTTTTTTTAACCTGCCCTTGCTTCAGATTGGTACCGCCTGTCACAAAACAACACTGCAACCTAAAAAGATATCTTTATATAAAATGAATTTTTTTTTGCTTCGACTACTTACCTTAAAAGTGATGTTCTCACAGTCTAGATCCACTGAACTGTTTAATATTGGAAAATGTAACAGAGCCATTGATGTCGCCTTGATGAACATTGGCATGAAAGATAGCTTCACCCCCCTGGACACAAATGATTCTTTACTGCGATTTCTCAGCCTATGCAAGAAAAAACAGTTTAATTATTTTAAACTAAATAATTACCAATGTCTGTGAACCTAATTAGGCTGTGTGCGACCATAAAAGTTGTCTAACGACAGATGTTAATCTGACTGATAGCTATTAAAGAGGTGAACAGAATTGAGATATCATTACACAAGCAGACTGCTGTTAATGGCTTCAAAATTGAAGGCAAGAAATGACTGAAGGAAAGATAACTGGCAAAAACCAAAACAGGCCATAACAAAGGCAAAAAATCACTTATTTGCCTTGACTTGTTCTGATTATGATATCCCCTGCTTATGTGTCAAGATTAGCATGTCCAAGATAGTAAAATCATTCCTAAGTGACAAATATTCCTTACCTAACAAGCTCATTTAGAATTATTTCATCCTTGTAGCCAAAATGAGGAATTGCAAGCGATGCAGTCATAGCTTTAGCCATAGCTTTCCTGATTCCTGTTATTGATTCTGTTCTGTCTTCGAGCATCACCTCCGGTCTTCTGATTGGGGTGGGTGGGACAGTAGGGGCAGCTGCTGATGCTTCTACTGTGGGGGTAGGGGCTATGAAGACATGGCCAAATATACTCAGCAACAATTTATTATACGATGGAATTTTTTTAAAGTTGCAAAACTAAGTTGACTTGGAAAACAAAGTTGATGATAAATTGTACCTAGGGTGGTTTTGGTTTTCATTTCTTCAAGGTAACGCATGATGTCTTCTTTAAGGATTCTTCCTTCTTTACCAGTTCCTGGAACATCAGCCAGTGCAATCTGAAACAAAAAAGATGAAAACTAACTGTGTGAACACTTTCTATAAAATTTGAATCGTGTATCATGTATGCTAATTGGTTGTCTAGTCATTTTGCATGAGGCCTTATTAACATGGTTATGAGTATTTATTGGATTTTTTTTTTTTTTTGCCTTTTTTTAAAAAAGAAATTAGAAAATGGCTTAATGTATCAGAGAGAAAAATTATGGGAGAATAATTTTTGAAAGTAGTTTTAAATATGTAAACTTTGTGTCTACTGCTCAGGTTTACAGAAACTTCAAATTTCTTGATGTGTGGTATATTTTCCTGTATGGAAGCATTGTGGCTCAGTCTAAGTTTCAATTCCTTGACAACCCCAGAAGAAATTGGTGAAAACTGCTAATGAATATTATAAAAGTAAAAAAAAAATTCAGCAATAATTCTCCTTACATCATGCTCCATTGCAATCTTGCGCACTGCTGGTGCTGCTAGCACTTTACCACCACTCCTGGGAACCTTCTCTGTGGTCTGCTGAGGAGGGGATGGTGAGGCTGTTGTTTGGGGAGTTGATGACTGAGGGGAGGGAGGTGGGGGTGGAAGCGGTTCTTCAATAGCATGTGTTGGTTTGGGCTTCTGTTGTGCAGCCATGACATCTTCAGCAGGGCTTGGTCCCACATCAGCATCTAAGGAACACAATATGAAATAAATTGTGCCAGTAAACACTAATATCAACTTTGTTAATAAGGGCATTACTTTAACATTCTTACAACAGACAAACCCATAGTGGCAAGTGTTCGCATTAAGGGTCAGAGTATGCCATTCTCTGTGACATCCTTGCTCTCCTTACTAAAACTCACCCTTTAGCATAATTTGCTAGTGTTAGTTCCAGATTTCTAGTAGAACAATAAAAATCTAAGTACACAGGTTGAACTTACTGGCATCAGCATGGGCAACAATTTCTATGTCCACCAGAGGCAGGCCGACTCTGGCAATGTCGTCCACTTCATAATACAGTTTTCTAATGGTACCATCAAACCGGCTTGTTATTGTTACTGATGCCTGATATAGACAAAAAGTGGGTTAATTCTTGATGGCAAAGCTTGAAATTAAAAGTCAGCATACAGGTTAATAATTATAAGAAAATCGTTTTCCTGTTATGTAGATCTGACCTTGTCACTCTGTACTTCACAAATGCTGTCAAACTGATTGACATGATCACCTGGCTTCACAAACCTAACAAGAAAATGCCAAATGAATATTACTCTTGTTAGCTCAACATCACTACTGACAGCAAGACGATAGTATTTAAAGATGATAACACAAACAGAGGCCTTGATTACTTCACTGCTGAAATATCTAATAATTATATTTTTCCAAGGATTTACATGAATGAAAGTAATCTATTCCTACCATTCTTTAATGGTAACTTCAGCAATTCCTTCCCCAATGTCAGACAATTTGAAAGGCAGGACTTCTGCATTCACACCTTTGAACCAAAACCCATCATCAATAGATCAATAATCACCTAAATTTTTAAAGGCCGTTATAGGGAAAACTCTGCACTAAAATAGTACACAATTCATTTACTTCAAATAGTTATTTGCCGGCCTTTTGATTCACACCCCCGACACACCCCCACAACAACTTGTACCGGAAGTTCACCGAATAACAAAAACATGACTTCTAATGTTCTCGCTAATGGTAAAGTCATTTATGGTACGGGTACAGAAATCGGGGTAAGTAACACGATAACTTCGGCCGATCTTTTTATAAATCCAGTGAACACAATAGCTCGCGCGCCGTGCATGTTGATATGTTACCTGGTGTTGTTCGCAAACATCGCAAACTCTGTTTTTGTTTTACAAATTCCTGTAAGTTAAGAAAACGAGAAGAAGATAAGTAGCGCTGAAAAATTAATTTGGAAGGTAAAAAATCGATCAGTGTTTCACGATTATCAACCAACCAACCAACCTTGAAATTTGCATCCTTGATCGAAATACACGAACATACTGCACGTTCTTTTGTGACGACTGGTCGGTTCTATCAACAGAAAATATTTATTATAGAAAGCATAAATATAGTGCTATCCTTTCCTACGAAAGATCTCCTCACCTGTTGGCAAAGAAGGCGCAGATTTCTCCTAAACGACAAATTTCGTAACATGGAAAATCGGGACGCCATCTTGAAATCTATCCACGTGGAATCAATTACACGGCTGCGGACGGCTGCGTGTAAAAGCAAAACCGCTGTCTATTAAGTTTTGACGGGTGGACGGCGGACAACTGATAATCAGAAAACCGTCAATTAATCAATTTTAAAGTTTATAAACTCGGCAAATCTTTGTAACACAACGCCTTTTAAAAGCAAGATCACTTCCCTCCACGTGGAGTATCCACATCCCCACTTCTCCGCCCGCCAGCTCCCCCCCCCCCCGCAACATCCTTCGACCCTCACACCCGCGACGCCCCCCGGGAATATTTCAGTAAGTGACTGGATTCAATCCAAGTTCATTTATTAAGAAAACTTTTTAGAGAGTTTTACCGCAGTAACATGTAGTTTCAACTGTGACACGATTCTCGTGACTCTCCTCGGGTTTATCAGTTTTCATCGCATGCACACTATATGACTGTTACACTCCACAGCGAATCATTACAACCAAAACCGCTGTGTTATTTTGAAGCCTCTACTTAGTCGAGGAATTACTCGGTCAAGATCTCTAGTCAAAAACAAACAGGAACAGGGCTAAACAACTAACACGCGTGGCAAAAATGAGCAACATATACATCCAAGAGCCTCCAACAAATGGAAAGGTATGATATTATTATACAAATTATGCGTAGGTAAGAAACAGTCTTAGTTCCAAGGGCTGCTTTTCTTCAAGAACACACTTGGGTCCAAACACTGTTTTGATTGAGCTGAGCTGTGTAGCGCCTGGCCGGCACGGGCTAAGAAACCATAGAAAGTTTAACTATTATTAGGTCTTCTGCTGACCATAAAAACGTCATAAATTTACGATCATTTCAAAGTAATTATTTCTTTGCAAAGTTTTTAACACTTTTTTTTTTAGTATGAGCATCAGCTGGTTTGTGAACAGCTGATGCAGTCATACTCAATCCCAGGCTCAAGATCGTGATTCTCCTTACTGACTGCTTCACAATCTCTTACTGTAAGTTTAGAGAACTTGGTGGTACATCAAGAGAATACATACATACAAACATACATACATACTTTATTTGAATAGGGTCAAACTATGGCAACTAATAAAGCTGATACATGTGGACCTACCATAGCTAATTAATACATGTACCTAATGATAGGAATGCTTAATAAATTTCTTGCTCCTAAAAGGGAGTTAATTTGAGAGGTGGGAATGATAAAAGATATACAGTATATAGAAATTGACAATTTACCCCGCTCCCAAACTGAAACTCCTTAAATTCGCCAGGTTTTTTTACCTCTCTTGTTACTTGTTCACTTAAGCACTTGCTCCCTCCCCTGATGTTTCCAGGCATGACTGGATTTTTGTTGCTTTATCTTTTATGGGTATTTACCGTAGGTACTCCTTATCACAACATGTGGAGAAATCGATATTGAGTTGTGGTCAAAAGAAGCTCCTAAAGCCTGCAGGAATTTCATCCAGCTTTGCTTAGAGGGATATTACGATGGCACTATTTTCCACAGAATTGTCAAAGGTAGGTCCTTACAAGCTGCTGAAATTTTTAATTAAATTCATTTTGGGGCACTTAAGAGACATAAACATACTCTCTGAAGAGATCAATCAGTTTTTTACTTCTGTAGGGGCTTAATTCTTTACTCAAACACAGTAGATATTTAGTTCAGCCCATCGTCAGGGAGACAGAGAGCAAGCAAATAATGAAAACTACAGACTAAGAGAAAAATTGTCCTGAAAATGAAATACTTTGAGGTTGTCGCAATGTCTCCATCAGTCCATAAGTTTAATGACAAGTTGTTTTCCAGCACCAGATGGCAAAGTTTCTCTGCTCCCTGATATGTGTATTACACATCTCATTCACTGCAAAGCCAACTTTATCTTATGTTAGCACCTAAAGGATACTGTTTTCCATTAGATCACACTCAGAGAGATTTTCATGATTACCCAGGTCCAAGAGGTTTTCCTTCTTTCACATTTTCTCCACTTCTCACAACTTTTTTTCACATCTCATATTTGATTGAGAATCAAAATAGACAAGAGAACGCTTTTTCAACCAGGGTGCTGAATGGTCCTTTCTGATCGATCGCCATACCCTGGACACATTACCTCCTTATAAAAGGGGACTTAAGATTTGAGTACAAACTCGTATGAGACTGAGTAGGAATTCAATCTTTCAATTCTAGTTTTTAGACAACAACAACAACAGTTTATTTCTACTACTGTAAGCGACTAAAAGAATTTACAAGATTGTAATTATAAATATATAAATAAACAGTGCAGTACATACAGTAGTGGGACACCCAAGATAACTAAAAAGCTAAACTAGTTGGGTGACCGTAATTATAATAATTAAAAATGTAAGAGTCAGGAAAGAGGCACAACAAATACATTGGTACACATAAGTATCACAAACTTGGTACAAGATTAAATATACAAAACAAAACAAAATAAATAGACATAAACCATCAAAATATCAGTAAAGATTAATAGAGACTAATGAAATGCGAAGTTAGTTCTTTTTTAAATTGATTAGAAGTACAAAACTTGAATCTTTCATCGAGTTCATTCCATAATTTAGGTCCATTAAATCGAATATTAAATTTGCCATAATTTGTTCAAATTTTTGGAAGATAGAAAGTAGATCTAGATGCAAAGCGAGTATTTACATTATGTTTACAAGATGTTTTGACAAAAAAAAGAATCAAAGATCTTTGGTAGTTTGCCAGTATTAAACTGGTGCATGAAAAGGAGAGTTTGAAGCTTAATATAATCTTGAAGTTTAAGAAGGTTAAACTTAGCAAACAAAGGACTTGTATGTGTATCAAAATTTGAGAAAGTAATTAAACGGATTGTTTTCCTTTGTTTAGGCTTCATATTATCACGTCACATTCCCATCTCATCCAATGAGCTACCCTCTCTACCTAAAACCAACATGAAGAGCCAGGACTCTGGAAACGTCACTTTGTAGTAATTTGAATAATCAGACTTGCACTCAATCTCGTACTAGTAGTCCAATCTTAAATTGCCTAACATTTACAGACTAAAATCCATTGAGCCATACATGATACATGAAAACTGCAACCAGTGTTAGTTAAAATAATGTTAGTAGCTATAATTTACACGTTACAAACCACCTTTTAGACCAGGATTATCTAGTATATGTTGGTATATTACTAACTGGACCTCACCATTTATTCTTTGATCTGTTCGTAAGGTTTTTGTATTCAGGGAGGTGACCCAACTGGAACAGGAACAGGTAAGTTTACGACTTGTGACCATCAGCCAGTTTTTTAATCAAATTGGTTCTCCTTCACATATGTTCTTCATGCCAAGTGGTTACATAAGGCCAGGCTACACTCTACCACCAACCAGCTCTGTCGTCCACTGCAATGCAGAACTCACTCAAAAATTTTCCTTCACCCACCTCTTTCCTCTCTTCCTCTTCTGTCCTCCTCCAATTGTGTCTTGGGCCTACCCCATCTTCAGTACCCTTCTGGCATTCAATCCATACAGTAGTCTTTGTTCCGCCCTTTCCTCATAAAGTGGCAGATGATCTTCCATGAACTCTTCTACTTAGATGAAAATTACAATAAAACTACTATGTGATATAAAGGATGCTTTTGTGTACACTATAGCAGTAGTGATGTTTAAATTCTCAATCCAACAAGTTATTTTTCAAAAACTGGAGTTCACATAATTATGCAAGCTTATTTATTTGAATGTGGTAGTTTGTTTGGATTTGTTATAATTACATTTGAACCGCACTATCTCAAACTCTCAAGATGGTGAATATAGTAAGTGACTGAAAAAGTATATCCAAGGAAAATGATTTGAAGTAGTCGGGCAGATGGGTAGATAGTCCAGTAACTTTGCTGACTGATGGTAAAATCATGTATAAATAAAGTTATCTTATCTTATCTTATCTTAGTGGGTAGGATTGAGATAACCAAGTCTGAAACAGCAAGGCTCTACTGTGATAATAATTATTACAATGTTTCTCTTCCTGAATCAGGTGGAGAATCCATATATGGACAGCCATTCAAGGTAATGGCATAAGCTTTTGAAAGTGTTAGTGGTGTTGTCAATCTGTATTTTTCCTATCAGAATCCACAACATCTTTTCAATTCTAGAAAATAGGGAGGGGTAAATATAAAATCCCTGATCTTAATACTGTTAAACAAGTATAACAACCCAAATTCAACATCCAGTCCAAAATTGTGGATATTTCAAAATCCACAGCACACTGCGTTTGTAACAGTAAGATCCTGATTACCTGTAAACTCTCGACTAAACTGTGAATCTTTAGTTAATGAAATTTTTGGCCATGTGCAGATCTATTGATCCTCAATCCAATCTTTCCCCATCCCCACCCATGTTAACCTGTTCTAGATTAGTAATTCATTATTCTAGGTGTAACTATAGTACTTCTATTATTGTAATTACTTGACATCTACTGCTCCATATCTGTTAGCAGTGTTGCTTCTATTGCCAGGTTGTAGTAATAAAGGTTTATCTTTTCGCAGGATGAATTTCACCAAAGGCTTCGTTTTGTGCGAAGGGGACTGGTTGCAATGGCCAATGCTGGTCCTAATGATAATCAGAGTCAGTTCTTTTTCACTCTTGGAGCCACAGTTGAGTTGAATGGCAAGCACACTATTTTTGGCAAGGTATTGCTAACAATATTCTATCATGTAGTAAATGGTTTGAAGCCTGGAGGATCGGTAGGTCATCTTGTCTGATCGTCTGGATGAGGGTATTTCTGAAAAGAACTGTTGTTTGTGACTGGCATTCAACAACCTGCGATGAGAATGGGTGATGCCAACAATCACAGTGCTGTGCATCATGAGCTGATGAACCACAGAATTGACTGGGACTCTGCTCAATGCTTAACCTACAGTACAAACTACATGTATTTTCAACAAATGACTCTGGAAAGCTGGTACGCTAACTTAGAGTGAATGCCTCCTAACAGATATCAACAACTACCGGCACCTTACAAACAACTTATTCACAACGTAAACAAAACCGACAGACAGACTTAATTGATAAACAGTAGATGGACCTCGAACAAACCAACTTAATTTGACTAACAGTAGATGAATCAAAACTTATTAGAACCGACCAATGACTATTGACAAACTTTACTTGAATTAGCTTGTGAACAGGCTCTCAGTGATTCTTCTGTTTCACGCTCACCGAAATTTTTTTTCCGTCCTTGCCGGGAGCCTGTTCGCAGACTATACTTGAGTCTTTCAGCCAATACCATCACAGCTAAACTGACCAATCACTTTAAACAGACCAGACTTGTAACATCTCAACTGACTAACACTATTTACTTGACAACAACAGTTCTTTTCACAACTACCCTCACCCGGACAATCACACAAGACAAACTACAATATAGTAATATATTATGTAGCAAGATTTGTAGTCCATTTGACCTTTAGAAGAAATTGGTTTAATGATTTATATTGAGGTAACAATGATGCCAGGGGACTGAGTATTAACTGGCATCTGTTAACCCTTGTTCATAAATTACCACCTACTCAGTGCGTAACGACATCAATCGACTATTTTTTTGAAGATTAAAACATTGTGAGATGCTTTTTCATAAACATATGAAATGGTTTTTATGATATTTTGAATTACAAGGTTGCAGGAGACACAATCTATAACATGCTTAAGATGGAGGATTGTGAAGTTGACAGAGATGACAGACCTCTTTTCCCACCAAAAATTAAAAGAACAGAGGTGTGATAAAATACTTTCTCTTATTTTATTATTATTATTATTATTGTTCATGAGTTTATATATATATATATATATATATATATATATATATATATATATATATATATTTATTTATTTATTTATTTATTTTATCAGGTGTTACATAACCCCTTTGATGACATTGTTCTAAGGCAGAAAAAGGAGGAGATGAAACCAAAACCTGAAGATCAAAAAAAGAGAAAAGTTAAAGGAACAAAGTGAGTTTAATTCCATTGTTTCAGGGCTCAAAAACCTTTAATTCCAGCTTGCCCCTTGGACAGGCCACTCCCAAATTTTGCTTGCCCTGGCAAGTCTTAGGTTTCTTTTTTTATTTACCTGTTGGCAGAATACTTGCCCAGGCCTATCAGGCAAGTGAGAATAAAAACTTACTTGCCCCACAGGAAAATCTACATGTACTTATCCTGGACAACTGGACAGCACTTTTTTTAAACTCTGCTAGGTTTCATTTGAACAGAATTGAATAGTACTTTCCTCCCTGAGTGGATAGTATTCTTTGCGTAATAATAAATTAAATGTTAATTAAATATAGTTCTTTAAACTTTAACAATATGTTACACCAGTGTCTGAGTTCTTTTATCTCTAATAATCTAGTGCTATAAAGCTCGTAAAAATGTTTAAAATCTGGATATACCAATACTTCTAGCTGATGTAAAATTAGTATGTACAACATGGATCATGTGTAATTTTGAGAGCGTGTACTAAAGGCATCGGCAATCAAGAGTGGATTGATCAACGCTCGATTGACATCTTAATTGGCACTTGGTTGACACTCAATCAACAGTCGGTCAATGGTTGGCCAAAGTCGACCGACTCATTTGTATTGATCAACATTCAATGGCACGTCTACAAAAATTAGTCGACTCTCAACTGACTGTTGACCGAGATGTTGATCGAGTGTCATTTGAGTATCAATCAAGGGTATCAATCAACACTCGACTGCAGATGCCTTTAGTACACTTAATCCTACAACATTGGACTAAAAGTGCTGTCTTGCCAAGTTTAGACCTCTATTTGACAAACGGTCTTTCCATTGCCATTGCTTAGAGGAAGTTCTTTTCACTAACAGAAACTTTAGCTTGTTGTCATTTGGTGAGGAGGCAGAAGAAGATGAATCAGATGTGGCTTCAGTAGCAAAGGTTGGATGGTTTAAATTCTCTTTTCAGATTGTTATTCATTTTTATTCAATGGTAGTTTTGAGAATATGATAGCACATGTATATCAAGGCAAGTTAATACTGGAGCTGCAGTAGATTGTCTTCTTTATTTACATTACCTGTAACCTTGACAACACAGTTAACCCCTCCCCCCATGGGTGGGGGTGTGCAGTCAGCTTCCCAAAGCCCTTAGCCTATTTAAGACCAAAATCTGCAATTTTCCCAACCCTCTTTAAGACCTGACCCCTAAATCAATACCCTGGTCCAGACCTTCCTTATTAGTTTCCTAGTTCAGACCAATATGAAAGCCATTGTGAAGGGCTTTTGTTGATGGTCATATGGATAATGATGAAAAAGTAGCTTCTTCTAAAAAAAACATACCAAATTAATACAAGACTAGAGTCCAAAACATACCCTATTTGAGACCAAAATAGCCAAAATCAATATCTATTTACGACCAAAATGGCTAAAATCGATAACCTATGCCTGACCAAAATGGCTAAAAAAAGCATATCCTTTGTGGCTGCACATACCTATGTGGCCTATATGAGGGAGCACCCCCTGGGGTTAACCCCACTATTTTAAAACCTCGCAGGAAATGAAAAATAGTTCAACATAGCAGGAGTTTGAAATAGCTGATAGTAAATGACTGAAAGGGACATGGTTTTAAGTTCGAAACAATGGGGAATTCAAAACAACCAAATGCAAAATAGAGGGGTTCAACTGTACATGTATATGGATGTTGTGTTAAGAAATAAGATATTAACCTTATCAATGTAGCTGCTATCATGGAAAATTTATAAATTTCTGATTCTCAGACATTGAAAATGAAAAGCAGTCATGATGTGCTGAAGGATCCAAAGCTGAGCTCACAACCAGTTCTTGAAACTACAGCTTCAGTGGTGAAGGTAAAATAATATTTTGTCTCCTAGAATCCCAAATACAGGTACACTGTGATCATGTGTAGGAGGGTAGGGTAGCAAACGCATGTTTTGGTGATGTTTGAGATAAAAGACCACCAGCAATACCCTGCCTTGTGGCTAATTTTCATTCAAGAAAAATTAGTAGGGCTGTACTCTGAAAGCACCAGGGTACCACAGGTGACTAACTTTTGTCTTTGGGCAGCTGGAAAAACTTACCTTTTTCATGTAAGCTTAAGTGCTGGGCACCTAGGATTTCATGGTTAGGAACTTTTCAAGTTTGACTGCAAATGCAAAAATTTTTATATTCACCTTCAAGCTTGATAATGACTGACGTTCAGTCGAAACGTCGCACGCTTTTACCGTTAGTTTTTACTTCAAATTGTTTTAAAAAACTTTACTTATAAGAAATTTTATAAAGCATTTATTTATACCTTTACTCATAAGAAATTCTATAAAGCATTTATTTTGACACACTTAGTCACAACAGTCACGTATTTAGTTTGGGCTGCCTGTGGGCAGGCAGTTCTGAAATCTCAAATAGGGTAGGAATTTTTGGTGACTCGCATAGAATGGGGTTTGTAAAAATTGCAGCCAAACATGATCTGCTACATGTATGTAGCTTATATAGGGCTGGCTCTTTGCAGTACTTCCAGTCGTTCAGTGCTTCTTCCAGGCCATTACAAGAGGGCAAGGGTGGGAGCTTCAAACTAAAAAGATTTTCCGGGGAGGCATGTGGTTATTTTCTGGAACAGCTCGTTATCAACTGTAATATGTATAATCCTACAAATTAAAATATTTCAAAGGTTCAGCATTTCTTATTCAGGGTCTTACAAGTATGTTACAGATTTGAAATTGGAAGTCAAAACGTGTTGAAAAGAAGCCCAAAAAAATGGATTTCACATTTGTTTTTTTGCTTGAACTTAAAATGGAACAATCCATTGTTGTGAAAACAAGAGTTTTCCAACCCCTGTAAAGTACGTTTTCTGAGGACTGAAAATACAGTCTTTTTCCGGCGATAACAAGAACCCAGCATTTTTTTTTTTCTTTTTTACTTAGCACTTTTCTGGATTTTTGTTTTTAATGATCTTCTGGCGCATGATACATGAAAAAAGTGTTGAAAAAAAGTTAGCATTTTCTGGGGCAGATCTAGCCCAGGGGGGTTTGGTCGACCCCCCCTAAATTAGAAAACATCATAACATAGGGTTTTCCACAAGTTGTTTGGCAACTCATATTTCGAGCATCTTTTTTCGGTTTTGAGCAACTTTTTGCATCTTGAACAATTTCTAGTTTTCTACCCATTCTGAGAAGTCAGAGCAGCTGTTAGTGCTTAAATTGGCCTTACTTTCATGTTTCACAATGTTTTAGTAGACAATTTATGAATTTCCTGTGAAAAAGGAGCCAGATTCCCCCTCCCCACTGAGGCAGATCATGGGTGCAAAATGCATGCAGCTGGGCTACTAGGTCAGCGGGACTTTTTTAAAGAAAATTAAAAAAATTATGATGAACGAAGATTCACACTCGACTGACTCGAGGGTCTCATGATCAGGCGAAGATTTTTTACATGATTAATGTTAATATTGATGCGTAGTCTTTACTTATACGTTTTTCGTTTCAATTGGGGACAAAATTATTTAGCAATTACACCACCTAATTCCACAAAAATAGTTAGAAATCAGACCAAATAAAGGAAGAGAGCAACAATTTTATTTGTTGAAAAATTTTCTGAGGGAGGATGCCCACGGACACAACACCTTCTCTAAAATCCTTTATTATATATCTCAGTTAATACGCCCGCTGTGATTGGTCAATTTAGCGGGCCATATTCTATTGTATGGCCTGCTAAAATTTAAAGCTGTTTTTGTTGCCAAAATGTTTCGTGATTTATCGCCAAGTGTTCTTAACTTTTACAGCAAGTTAAAGTTTAAAAGTTTCTTTTACCTCTAAAATTGTGTATTGAAACCTGCTAACGACTTAAGAGTCACTTAACGATTTCAAATTGACTCGTTTTGCTTTTGACATGTGTCAGAAATTTGAAGCCGTTCCGCGTGAATAGAAATCGTTCCCGAACCCGGCAGAAGAGATATAATTATATCTCACTAACCTCGTCTTCTCGGTCTGTACTGTAAGTTATGGATCCTCATTTTCCCCCTTCGATTTATGACCTACGCTTGCGCTTGGAATTGAGCCTTAAATCGATGGGGGAAAAAACTCAGTCTGTAACTTACAGTGCGGCCCTCGAACACCAGCCGTTCCGACACATTGACAAAGTATTTTCAGGCTGCGTGTGAAACAATACATTTTTGGATGGAAAAATCCTTTGCTTTTCCACCAAAAGACTGCGCTTTGCTCCATGTCGATTTCCTTTCACGTTAATATGAAATAACTGCATTTAGATCAAACTCAGAAGTGAAGTATTTCTGAAATTCCTTTTCAAAATCTGTTTGAATTGGGAAACTAACTTAATGCAGGCGCATTCAGCCAATCAGCATCAAATAATCATGCCCTCTTGAGTACCAAAAGTGTCCTCGTGATTAAGAAAAAATGCCCTCTGACTCAGGCAATCAGCATTCAGTAATTTTGCTCCGTATGTGATAACCATGGAAATTTCAAGAGTTCTTATGGCATTGTTGATATTCATGATGCACTTGCTAAAATGCGTTGAAAAATACTCCAAAGAAGGACCCGAGTCAGTTAAACAGGGACTTGATTAACAAATGAAGAGCTGATGTTGAAAGAGAGTACGAGGAAGCCAGAAATAACCCAGATGGTCGACTCACATATTCCTGGCTTGTTGCACAGCGCCGAGTGAGGGATTGCTTTGCTGGTAACTTTACTGAAGGTCAATGGACCGTCAGTGACAAACGTCATACAGCGCGTGACTCGTTCAACACGGTTGACATTTATGATGCTTTTGTTCGTTGGGATAAAATAAGGGAGATAGTAATAAGGGAGACTATTGAAAATATATGGGAATCATTGCAAACCTATGCCATTCCTGATTTGCCTGATGATATCAAACAATTTAATACACCAGTCAGTGATTATTACATGGACCCAAGGACTGGTCAGTCTGCAATGGCATTACCAACATTGGAAACACACTCACAGTTTAATTCAAGTAATGCCTTACCAGGAAGTCTGGTGGTTGACTTCATGAAAGACTCTATCAGGCGATATACAGAAGAGCACAGAGAAGAGTTGGCTTAGGTAGTTGATTGTGTAAACATTTTGCTATCTGACCATCTCAACGCTTCTCAGTGGGCATTGTATGCCTGCTGTTCAACACACTTTGTATCATTATGCCTTCAAATCAAAATAGATCATTTTTTGTGACTAAGTTCAAGAGCTAACGCATTAAAACTGTGTTCTTTGGGAGTTGCCTGGATCAATCAATGATCAATAATATTTGTGTTTCAATTGACATCTACCATTCAACCTTCCGTTGAGGTAAAATTATAAGATATTTAAGTGTATATAAATGAATATGATATCAGGTAATCATTTCTCTTAATTTGCATGCAATAAGTAACTTTAATTACAGTCTGTAGAAGATTAGGTATTGTAAATTCAGAAGTTCAATATACTTGGTTCCTTACTGCGCCTTTCAATAATATGCGGACTCTAAAATTCAAAGGTCAACCGACAAACGCGTTTTTCGCTACCGTCAATCAAATGTTCGGCAGCTCCTCCCAGCTTCCGACTACTGCGGAACACTGTTTCGTGGTCTGAACTGTGCTCAACGATTTTATTACTGCATGCTTGGCAGTAGTCGGAAGCTAGGAGGAGCTGCCAAACACTTGATTGACGGTAGCGAAAAACGCATTTGTCGGTTGAGCTTTGAATTTTAGAGTCCGCATGTTATTGACAGGCGAAGTAATAATCGTTATTGCTGTACCTAGTAAATCTTGTTTATGATATGAAAGTGATGTGTTAAACGTAGATGGAGAATCCACAAACAATGAAATAACCACTGATGACTGTTTTGACCAGGTGGCCTGAGGTCATAATTCACTCTTGTGTTAGTTGGTCAATGATTGGCTCCAGACTCTCTATGGGCCAGCAGAACACTGGGAAGGGAGGGTGGAATGTTGCATACATAGTATTGGAGATGGGGTTCGGTGAAAGGGTGAAGGGAGGGGAGTGAGAATGCTGAAAATTGTGGGAGTAGAATCCCACAGCATGCAAATATCAGGAAATATCTATGAGGGAATTTTCAGAAATTTAAATTTACTGTACGAGTTTGTCAAGCACCTCTTAAACTTTTGAAATAAATGAAATGAAATAATATTTTATTCAAATACAGAGTACAAAGAGTATTTGAAAAGGAGGACCATGAGGTTATCCCTATTTAGGTCCCCTAACTAAAATTACAATCTAGAATTTAAAA